TTTTTTCTTTACTTCAAGGACAAAGTTATCACATTAATCGCCGAAACTAAATGCACATGATGGTAGATCTATAACTTAAAAAAATATCCAGAAATTAAAAACAGTCAGGAACACCACAAATTAAGAGGAGCACAGAAGGCTGCCTGTGGGCGCGACCATCACTCCTCTTCTGCTATTGCTGTTGTTGTTTTTGTTGTTATTGCTCTTGTTCTTCCGTGTCTCAATTTCGAGCGTTGCGGTTATGTTCTTCTTTGTCTAAGACAATCCATGACTATGCGAGTGTGAGTAAGGAATTATGGAGATATTTCAGCACTACAAGGAAGCAGCAAAAAAAAAAAAATTTTTTTAATGTAATAATGATGGTTAGATCTATTTGTATATTTTGATGATCATTAAAGGTTTAGAATCATAATCTAGCTCTAACAGCGGATTTTTTTGTGTGTAACGGTTAGGAGCTTCGCCGTCACGCGCCGCAGACCCAAAATCTATCACCGAGTGGGAAGAATGTTATGTATCGAGCATATCGATCTCTCTGCTAGGATTCTGTATCCCTTTCAGCCCGGGCTAGTCCTGGCAGGCAGGGTAGGAAACCCTCTTCTTAAATGACCTAAATTGTGTTGATTGGGCCGTAATATCATTGTCAATAAGAATATATCAATATAATATGCTCTAGTTCCATTCAGAGCAGGTCGGACTCGTACTTTTTTTCTTTCCCACTCTCCTAGCATAATATGGAGATCCGATTTTTAAATTCTCAAAACATTAACGTGTCATGTTGTTGAGTTGAGCTGTAGTATAAGGTGAGTCCTCGCTGTAAATGTCTTATTTCTCCAGGAGCCAATTAGCTAAAAATAAAATGTAACACGTAGTAGAGAGAAAGAGGAAGATGCATATATAATATATATATATACATTAAAAAAATATATATTATATTATAGAGAGAGAGAGAGAGAGAGAGAGAGAGAGAGAGAGAGAGAGAGAGAGAGAGAGAGAGGAAAGCATTTTTGAAAAAAAAAATTTTAAGGGAAGAGTAAATAATTTAAAGGAGAAAGCTTTTAAATTCAGACCAGGGCTATCGGAAAGAGAATTATATATACCCAGATGTTAGAATCCAAACATAAAATTTTGACACAGTGATTTTTTCGAAGGTAATATAGGTGCATTAACTGCCACTAATAATTGATGAGTTCTTATTAATCTCACAAATTGTTGAGCGGAAACCCATTCAGCGAATATCAAGGGACATAACTCATAAATTATTGTCAAGCTTTATGAAAAGCTCTGTCATTTCCCTTGTACAAAGAAGCGCTGAGTCATCAGTCTCATCTGAACTGTTCGGCGTTGGAAGTTGAAAATTATGCTTCATGGGTAAGCCTACTTTCGCGACCCTTCAGAAGAGGTAAATTCTCAGACTAGTGTGGCTTTGAAATATAGACTATACAAAACGGAAAGAATTAGTAATAATATGCTTTTAACGATCCACTGTTATTTCTAAGAACATAATACAATTTCTTGACAGGTATTATTATTTGTATTTTGCTTCGTTGAAACTTATTTTTGCCATTGTACGTAGATGGCGAGAGATCGATTCCTGAAAGAGATAATTGTCATCGGGTATCTCTGTATGTCTACCGCGATGTGGTATCCGATTTCAACCGCGTTGACCCTAACAGGCAGGACTTTAACATGCCCGCCTCAAAATGTTCTAATTATTGTCAATGAGAATGTAAAACATACACAATGAATAAAGACATTTTCTGTATAAAATGCTTCCAACAATACATTTTGTTTAGGCTGAATGCACGTCGACGGACTGGTACCAGACTGGGATAATAATAAGGCAAAGGAATACTGGCTAGCTGTTACTGCTAAGAAAAGTAACAATAATGATAATAATGTAGATACCGTCTACATACAGTGCCTACTCCCGTACAAAACAAATTTGCTCTTGGAGGTTAATATTAAACGGCTTTACTAGAAAGGGCTATGGATTTGTCCTATTTCATGTTCGTTCCCTCTTTTACCCCTTCAAATAGCCGTTATTGTGTTCGTGTTTTTCGTTTTATTAAAATAAACAACAAAACAGAAAAAACACACAAACAGACAAACACAAAGACAAAGAAACAAATTACAGAATCTGAACCGAATTAAAGTATGACAAAGTTAGATTAATGTATATTATTACACAACACTGTGGTTAACGGGTGCTCTGGTGTGGTTTTCTTCTTCTTTCCTATCAAACAACTATCGTCCTGATCTCTCCTCCTTCTTTTTTGGTGTTTGTTACTTTCTTATAACACCTCTTATCTTCGGCACTTATATGACCTTATCATGTTGCAAGCGCCGTAATACTCCTCCTAAAACTAACACTTACGACCAGTATCTGACTGCGGGCTGGTAGTTTGAGGGTCACTGTCGTTGGGAGTGGTCATGTTCCTCAACACCGCGATCTTCTTCACTTTCTGCTCGTGTTCTCTGCTTGGCGCCAACTTCATGGGAGATCGTTTCCTTCGCTTGCTCTGACTGAAGGGGAAAAAGACAATAGCATGGTTGTTAAAACAGATTTGTAGTAGTTATTCAATTATGTCTATGACGTTCAAAACATGTTTTTGCTAATGTTGTTGTTGTCGGTGTTGTTGTTGCTTTTGTTGTTGATGTTGTTGTTATTGTCGTCGTTGTAATTTTTGCTGTTGTTGCTATTGCTGTGTGTGTGTGTGTGTGGTAGCCTATCCGTTCGAAATGTTCGGAGCCCCGAAGAGTGTGCTCTTCGCCAGGGCCATCGCCTCCCTTGGGTAGCGGGTGAGGCAGTCCAACCTCCCTGAATCCTCCCCGAAGAGATGCCACCGCCGGGCCTCCGTGGCGGGGCATCTCTGCAGCCAGTGCTCCAAATCTTGGGGCTCCTCGCTGCACAATGGACAGATTGGGTCCGATGTTTTGTCTATTCTATTTTTGTAGGCCCGAAGCCCAGAGAAATGACCGGTCCTGATTTTTGCCAGTAATGACTGGTCACTGCGGGACATAATAAGAGCCTCTCGTTTTAAGGAAAATGCCATGTAGGCGGTGTCGGCTTGGGTTTGGTGTCCTTTTGTTTGACCTGGGTTTTTTCTCTGAGATATTTCAAATTGTAATGTTCTTTTCCCTCCTCTCTTTGACCGTGTAGTTTTTGGGATCCCATTTAGATTGTTTTCTCTTAGTTTCCTCATAACATTGGGAGGTATAAAGACATGGCTCATTGGTCGAAATAACAACAGAATGTCTGGGGAGTATGTTGTTCTATTTTCCCTTTCGGTGAATATCTCTGCACTGTCCATTCAAACCGATGATTGGTGACCATGAAGATTAGGGGAAGCTCGTAGAAAAAATCGTGAATCCTAGATCGAGCTTCTGCCTCAGATTAAGCAGAAACAATGAGGTTCACTGTAGAGAATAAATAAAAACTTGACGTCATGATTATTTGCCAACCGGAAGTTTGTTGTTGTTGTTGTTTTTTCTTTACTTCAAGGACAAAGTTATCACATTAATCGCCGAAACTAAATGCACATGATGGTAGATCTATAACTTAAAAAAATATCCAGAAATTAAAAACAGTCAGGAACACCACAAATTAAGAGGAGCACAGAAGGCTGCCTGTGGGCGCGACCATCACTCCTCTTCTGCTATTGCTGTTGTTGTTTTTGTTGTTATTGCTCTTGTTCTTCCGTGTCTCAATTTCGAGCGTTGCGGTTATGTTCTTCTTTGTCTAAGACAATCCATGACTATGCGAGTGTGAGTAAGGAATTATGGAGATATTTCAGCACTACAAGGAAGCAGCAAAAAAAAAAAAATTTTTTTAATGTAATAATGATGGTTAGATCTATTTGTATATTTTGATGATCATTAAAGGTTTAGAATCATAATCTAGCTCTAACAGCGGATTTTTTTGTGTGTAACGGTTAGGAGCTTCGCCGTCACGCGCCGCAGACCCAAAATCTATCACCGAGTGGGAAGAATGTTATGTATCGAGCATATCGATCTCTCTGCTAGGATTCTGTATCCCTTTCAGCCCGGGCTAGTCCTGGCAGGCAGGGTAGGAAACCCTCTTCTTAAATGACCTAAATTGTGTTGATTGGGCCGTAATATCATTGTCAATAAGAATATATCAATATAATATGCTCTAGTTCCATTCAGAGCAGGTCGGACTCGTACTTTTTTTCTTTCCCACTCTCCTAGCATAATATGGAGATCCGATTTTTAAATTCTCAAAACATTAACGTGTCATGTTGTTGAGTTGAGCTGTAGTATAAGGTGAGTCCTCGCTGTAAATGTCTTATTTCTCCAGGAGCCAATTAGCTAAAAATAAAATGTAACACGTAGTAGAGAGAAAGAGGAAGATGCATATATAATATATATATATACATTAAAAAAATATATATTATATTATATACAGAGAGAGAGAGAGAGAGAGAGAGAGAGAGAGAGAGAGAGAGAGCGACAGAGAGAGATACAGAGAGAGAGAGGGGGGAGAGAGAAAGAGTGAGGGTGAGAAAGAGCGAAGGAAAGAGAGAGAGACACATACACACAGACACACACACACACACACACACACAGAGAGAGAGAGAGAGAGAGAGAGAGAGAGAGAGAGACAGAGAGAGACAGAGACAGAGACAGAGACAGAGACAGAGAGAGAGTGGAGAAAGAGAGGGAAAGGAAGAATGTGTATTATGTATGAATGAGCTGAAGAGTGTTAATCTATCTGTATGTTTGTGTGCGTTTGTCTATGTGTGTGTGTGTGTGTGTGTGTGTGTGTGTGTGTGTGTGTGTGTGTGTGTGTGTGTGTGTGTGTTTGTAATAATGTGTGATTGTGTGTGATTTCGTATATAAGTGTACCATTTATGTATGTATATATATTTTA